TTCTCATGCAGTTTACATTCTAGTGTGGAAAACCATGGAGAAAATCAGCAACCGTTTCAGTGACCAGCACTGCCAAAACCTATTAACACAAGATAATGAGCTAGCAAGGATAAGGAAAGATGGGTTACAAGGAAGGCTTTCTAGAGAGGGAGTCTCTAAGAGCCAAATGACAGGAAACATGACTACAGGGGCAGTCAGGGACAGGAACATAGACACAAAGAGCTGAGCCTACTGGAAAGAGAGAGAAGTGGCCACTGGTCCTACCGCACAGCCCGAAAGGGAATGAGCAGCAAGTCTGGAAGGGATCACTCAAATCCCAGAGGCCAGATCTCAAAGACAAGGTCTTATGGATATTATAAATACAATGGGAAGTCCTGGGACCCTTTAACGGAGGGGTTATCCCAATAGTAGTTACCTGAACAGAGCATTGTCTGTGTGCCAGACATAGCTCAAATCTCATTTCATCTTCCCAACAACCCCATGTGGTAGGAACAAATATGAACCCCATTCCACAAGTGAGATCTGAGTCAAAAAGGCAGTAAATGATGAAGCCAGAACTCAAAGCCAGGTGGTCTGGCTACAGGTGGTGGTTGTGGACGTGAACAAGGGCCAGATGGTAGGGCCTTGAAGGCCTAGGTAAGGAATCTGTTATTCCAAGTGTAACAGAAAGCCATTAGAGGGGGGCTGAGACTTCCTCGCTCATTCCCTTTGATCTGAGTTAAGAGAGGGCACAGCCTCTGGGAAAAGCCCACCACACCCTGGCTGAGTTGGCTGCTAAACCAGACTACTGCAAACTCAGCCATATACAGATGCCTAGACCTGCCCTACCTACATCAGGCAGAACTCTCTAGCGTCTACAGAACTGGATGCCTTCTCTCTAGGTCAGGGTCCTTGAAGTGGGGCCCTGGAGCAGCAGCCATCAGATCACCAGGCATCTTGTTAGAAATGCAAATTATGGGGCCCTGGCTCATAACTACTGAATCTGAAAAACCATTTGTTTTTAACAAGCTCTACAGGTGATATAGGTCAAGTTTGAGAACACCTGTCTGGGTTATCCACATGCAGACACAACCACGACTACCCCACCCACCTTCTCCAACCCCCACCCCCACTCCTTCCACTACCCTCCCAAGGTTTACTGGACTTGTCCTTGGGCAGCCTCTGTGCTGCACACCCAGCCATCCGTCCCCTCTACTGGTGGGACTCTCAATGGCTGGAAATCTCACTATTGGCCCAAACTATTTTTCTAACTAATTTGACTCTCTGAAAATATTTATTATTCACCCATTTAGGCCTCTTCTACCCTAGGGTAAACTCCTCTTCCTTCGTACTTCTAGGGTTTAACTTTCAGCCTTGTCACCTCCAAGGCTGGAAGTCAAGGATAATTTCTGCCTTAACCTAGACTTTCCCTAACACCCTTCAATCACCAGATTTCCTCTTTTTATTCATTCATTCCCACTTTCATTCATACATTTCAACAAGTATTCATGCCCTCAGCATCCCAGGAACTAACTACACTAGGTGGCAGGTACTTTAGCGATGCCTAAAAACAGCGCTCATCCCTGCCCTCACAAAACTGACCCTTTAGTGGGGGATGGCAGCATGCAAATAAATACAAAATGACAAATTATATGGTTATACTAGAAAGACCTCTGAGAAGGTCACTGGGTTGAGAACTGAAGGATGCAGAGACAGGCCCTGACAGTATTTGGGTGTTGAATCCATGCCAGACTCTAGTCAGTCTAAATGCTTTATGTGCATTACTCATGTACTGTTCTCATAGCCCAATGGAACGACAAGAGGGGATACTGAGGGATGGGGAGAATAAGAATATATAAACAGGAGAGCAAAGTTTCAAACCCAGGCAGACTGGTTCCGGAGCTACCCTCCTCACCACAGGCTAAGGTGAGAAAAGTGGGGTGAAATGGATAGGCAGACAAGTGTCCAGGCAGACAGATCAGCATGTATAGAAGCCCAGAGGCAGAGAAAAGTCAGCCTGAAGCAGAAAGGAAGTCGAGCATATTAGTGAAACTGGGGAGCAGTGGACGGATTGGAAATATATGTGGGAACTGGACCAGACAAGATATCCTGAAACATGTATTATGGAGTACAAGGAAGAATGGGAAATCAAGGGTGACTCTCAGTTTTCTGATTCTGTTTTCAAGGCTTGAGGACAGTCAGAAGACAAAGTATTATAACACAATATACTAAAAAAAAAAAAATCCCGTGGAGTGCTGATGCACAGGCAAGCTCTCAAAAAGAATATAGTCAATCAATCAAGCAGGTTAAAGCTTCCAGCTCTCCCCACCCTCCCCTCCTTCTCCATAGGGGAATCTTCATTCAAGGGTTCCAGCCAAACTCCCAGGAGCTGTTTTCCAGGACGCTACTAGCACTGGCTAACAATAAGAATCACAGCTATAGTAATAAGAATAGCTTCCACCAGGAGGAGGGTTTTTCTCACACAAATGTAATGCTTTCAAACCAGGGTTCTCAAAATTTTCTGAATAGAACAATTATACTAATTTACAAATGAGAAGCTGTGCAACTTGCCCAAGGCCACACAACTGCAAAGGGGCTGAACCAGAATCCAAATCCAGGTCTGCCCAATTTCAAAGCCCATACTTCCTCCATTAAATCAGCATTTCCCATAATGTGGGACAAAGATCTGTGATGGAACACAACAATGGTTTTAAATGCACAGATAAACTTTTTAAAGTTTTAATAGTTATAGTCTGGTTTTATTATGTATAGCCCTATGTGCGTGTAATATCAGCTAGATAAAAATTTAATATATACATACACACAATTGGATTCTAACTTTTGCATTACATATGTATATGTGAATCCATGACTTCACGTGTATTGCTGCCTAGGAAACAAAGTTTCTTAAAAGTTAAAGAAAACATTAGAATAGAAGTACAGGTGATACAGGGAGAGGGGAGAACTCTTAAGGCAGAACATAAATAACTGAAGCTTGTGAAACACTGCTCACCGCACCATCACCTAAGAACAGCCAAGCACCTGTTCCATATTGTACTCAAATTTGGCTACAGTCTCACATAACTTTGACTCTGCTCCAGAGGGATGAAATATTGGCTGCCTTGGGGGATAGGGAATAGCAGAACAACACAATTTAGCATAAATCCTTCTTAACACAGTATTGGTCTTGACATAAATACTGGTTTGGTGGTCCAAATCCTCTGCTTCTTCATCACATACCTTGATTAAGTCAGGTAAAGCTTTCTTGGGCCTCAGTTTCCCTTTGTCAAAAGGAAGTTATATAAAATAGGCTCTAAGGTCACTTCCAGTTTTAGAATTCTGTAAACTGTTGCAAAATCCTAAAATCCAAAATTATTTTTTCCAATCGGAGGGGCCCCAATCCTGAATGAGTGTTGACCTGAGGAATAAATGCTAAATAAGCCCACATGGCAACCCAGACGACCATCCCAAAACTAGGGAGATGCTAATTACACTTCCCTCTGGAAAATGCGGCAAGACATTAAAAGATGAGAAAGATGAGCCAATCAGTAACCTTGTCCCCACCAAAACTTTTAAAAATTTCCTGACACTAATTTTTAAGTTACTAATTTTATTACAGTGGGTCGTTAGTGTCTGTTATTTCTAGTCCTTAACAATTCACTTTAATCTGGGTGGAAATAGCCCAGAGAGAAATAGGTGGGGAAGAAATCTGCAAGATCTCATCAATCCATCCTCGTGTTAGGCCTCAACTGAGAACCACCTGTAAAACCTTCCCCGCTTCAATCTGAATTACTCCACGGATGCTCAAACATGTTTATGTGCTTAAGCCTCTAAAAGGAATGAACTGCCACTCCTTAATTTTTAAAAACGTTAACAGAAGTTTAACCAAAACAAGCATTCTTCCTCTATTACTGAAATAGATAGCTTTATCAAAAGGGAAGTCTTAAGGACCCTTCCTGCCTTCTTTACAAAGTCCTTTCTGTGATGTCAGTGGGCCTCCAAACTTTTAATCGAGTTTTTAAATTCCCAGAAAGAAGTTGTGCAATGTGCTCACTTCGTTTTTTTGCTGAAGAAAACAAGAGGATGGGTGGGCTGCAGCTGGCAAACTCAGAAAGCACAGCTGGGTAGCAGGTGATCTTTAAAAAAAAAAAAAAAGAGGCAAATCCCTGGGCAAATTGTGTAGCCAAGGGTGATCATTATAACTGGAGAGTTGTTACATAATTAACTACTGACAAACACATAAATCGCTATAAAATGCCATGGTTCCTCTAGACATTGAAGCTAGTGTACCTAAGGCAAGAGTCAAGCTTTCTCCAATTTCATTCAATGAAATAAGCAATCTCGGGACTTATTTCCCTTCCAAGGTAACCCGTCTGCTTTTACATATACAAAACAGCCTCCAGCAATTAAACCAATCGCCTCTAGGGACGAAAATCAGGCTCCCCTTAATATTGATTTTTTTTAAAGGGAAAAGGGGATACAGAAATAAGTACGTTCAAAGAGCTAAATATTTATCACCTCGATAAAAACGACTTCCACTCCAAACTGGAAAATTTTAACAGAAAAGGTCTCCCCCTCACCCCACCCCCCGTCCCTGCTCAGCTGGCGCAAAACGTAAGACCTGTGTCAGATGCACTGCATTCCAACATTTTTCAAAAAGTTTACGAGGATTTACCGAAGCAGCGGGGAGAAAAATAAAGCAGGCAGAAGCGGGGGAAAGCAAGCAAGAGGGTTTTTGCAAAGAGGCACCCGGTGAAGCAGCCAGCGACGCCGTGCAAGGCCCGGTAACGGGGAAGCGACCCGGCACCCGGAGAGCGAGCACCCCAGTGGAGCGCAGAGACTGACAGCCGCTGGGTCTCCGCCGCCGGGGGTCCCCTAGCCCCCCAGCCCGGTCACCGCCGCCCGGCCCCCTCCCGAGCCCTCTCCCCGCAGCGCCGGCGATGCCCGCTGGGCCAACTTGGCCCCGGGTCCGCGCTGCGGAGCGCGGCCCCAGCTGCGGGGGAGGCCGCCGGCGCCCTTACCTCCTTCTGCTTGGGGTCCTGCGGGTAGACATCGGGCGGCCCGAGCCGGGGGCGTTTCAGCGGTCTCTGCTCATAGCTGAGAAGCCCGAAGGCGGCCATGATCTCTCATGTTAACCGGCGAAATGAATGAGAGTTGGAGCTGGAGCAGCCGCCTCTGAGCACCAGGGAGCAGCACTTTGCAGACAGACTCCCTCTCTCCCCCTCCTCGCTCGCTCACTGTGGCGCTGCAGGCAGGAATAAAGCAGGTTGGATGCAGCCGCTGCCCGGCACGCAGACACGCACTGATGGGGGCAGTCTTCGCCGGGCACCCGACTGCGCTTCAGCCCCGGGACGCACCGCTTGGGTGGCGGCGGCGGAGGAGCTGGAGGTCTGCCTGGGTCTCCCGCGGCGCCAGCCTCCCGGCCCCCCCCAACCCTGTCCCCAGGGGGAGGAGCAGCTGATGGGAACGTGTGACTTTTTTCACCAATGGACCCAAACCCACCCCAGCCGGACAGGGGGTGGGGGAGGGGCACGGGAGAGAAAAAAAAAACTTTTCTTGGCGCCTAGGCGGGTGGCTCAAGTGCTCACCCAAGGTGAGGGTGGCCCTCCAGCCCGGGGAAGAGACTGCGGAGAAGCCCGCCCCCGCCCCTCTTCCACCGCAGGGATCCTTCCCGCGCCGCCACGCGCCCAGCAGACCCCGCCACCTGGGCGCGGACCCCGCCGGGGCGGAGGGAGAGAGGCCTGGCGGGGGGGGGGGGGCAGGGATGCGGACGGGGAGAAGCGGCCGGTGCCTCCTAGACGCCGGCCGGGCTCCGGTGGCGCATCAGAGGCTCCGGTCCCCTCGGCGGCTCCGGGCAGGCGCCGAGGCGCGCTGCTGGCGGTCGCGGCGGCTGTAGGGGGCCGTGCTCACGGTGGCGCGGGGCCGATTTAACCCTTTACTGCCCCTCCAGAGGCTGGGGGAAAAGGGGGAGGAGGGCTGGCTGTGAGCGCCGACGGGGGCAGCCAGCCCGCGGACGTCTCGGACTCCAGCCCGCCGCCTCCCCCCGGCCGCAGCTCCTCCTCCCACCCCCACCCCCCTAACAGTTTACCTGTTGGTCCCCGGCTAGTGGGCAGGGGCCGGCGGCGGCACTCGAGCGGCCACAGCCTCCATGATTCGGGCTGGGATGGGGGGGATTGGATTGGGTTTTATTTGTGAGGTATCAGTCTCCAGGCGAGCTCCGGGGACACCGCGAAGTTTGCCACTGTCTGGGGGCGGCGGGCAACGCCGGCTCGCCGCCGCCGGCGTTCTCGCCCCCACGGCCCGGGAGCGCGAGCTTCCGAGTTGGCGGACGGCGGCGCGGCGGCCGCACTGAGCATGCCCAGCTCGGCGGCCGGACCGCGGAGGAGTTGGCTGCGAGCGCGCTCCGATCCGCCTCTCCGGGTTTTTGCAGCCGCAGAGCGCGCAGCCCGCGGGCCCCGGCGCCGGGGTTGGTCCTGGGGTGAAACTGGGCTAGGGAGGGGGCGCCCGCAGGACCCCACTCCCGGCCGCGGGCCGCACTGTCCGCTTCGATCTCTCCTCGAGGACGCTGTCCCCGTGGCTTGGGCCGGAAACCTCACCTGCGCCGGGCGTGTGGAGGGAGGGAGGCGATCCTCCGGGGGAGACCTTGGTCAGCCAACCCACCCGTGCTCCCCGCTCGCTTCGGGGCGTGGGCACCGAGATGCTGGGCCACCTGCCGCGAGCACTGAGAGATCGGAGGCGCGGGGGGCGGGCCTGGCCTGTCCCGAGGGACCCGGCGGGAGACGCGCCCGGGAGGATGTGCCGGCACTTGTCCAAGAATGATGGCTGCCATTTATGGAGCCCTCCCTTCGTGCCAGGATCTTGACAGTTTAAAGGTCTCCGATCCTTAAAAAATAAATAAATAAACCTTACACGGTTTTACCGTACCCTTTTTATAGATGGAGAAATTGAGTCAGCTCAGTGAGGCCCGGTGACTGTTTAAAGCCACGAAGCTACCTCTGCCTGATCCCAAGTTTTGGACCTATTTTCCACGATTTGGGGTTGGAAGGACTGGGTTCCCCAACTGCCCTTACCTGCTTGTGTCATGTTCCCCACACCTTGAGGAATTTCCAGACTCCCGGTTCCACCTTCTATAAAATGGTACAATCAGAATCTAACCCAAAAGCCTATGTACAGCACCCGCCTATAGTAGGTGCTCAGATGTTGCCCAAAATCTAAATATCTACTTACCTCAGCTGACTTGAAGCAAAAGGGAAGGAAGAAAAAAAGGTAGATAAGAGGATGGAATGTGGTAGAAGCCAGTTTCTCACTCTTGACCCTGATCTGTTAGCCCTTCTCAAAACAACCTAAGGCCAAGTCAGACCTGTAGTTTTTGGCTTCTTTACTCAATGTAAGCAGGTACTTTTAGAGAACAGTTACCCGCCACCAGGAGGCATTTCCTGACCACTTTCTGCACCCTGCCCCAAGGGTTTTTCTTCCTAATACCCTGGGTCTAACTTGAACGCTGAACTTGCCCTTGTGATAAAGTCATCTGTCAAATCTAACTTTCTCTCTTGAGAAAAAGGACAGTTATCTAACTTTATTAGGAAAATTATCAATGATAACAAAAAGCAGGAGAAATGGTATAATGAACTTCCAAATACTCATCTCCCAGCTATGGCAATTATCAAAGTTTTGCTATTCTTTCATCTTCCCCACCCCAACACACTGACATGTACTAGAGAGGACACTGTTATTCATTGTTGCAACTTAGGCACACAGCCTGCAACACTACAGGGTGGGCACTCAGTGGTTGGGTGGGTAGGTATGTGGGTCCACAGATCACTGGGTGTACTTTGGGGATACCTTGCACTGACATTCCAGTCTGATAGGAGATGTAACCTCAATTCCTCCTTAGGAATACCTAGGCAAGAGTCTCTAACTGGCCTCCACAGAGGAAAAAGTTTTGAAGCACTCAAAATTGTATACCATAAAGATTTTATTTGAAAATCAAAATGTATTAGTACTGTGTCCCTAGTGTTTAGGGAAAAGAGCCCCTCGTCTCCCTTCCTAACTCCCTTGTCTTGAGACAGTCTGGCATGGATTCTTTGGCCCTCTCAACATGGGAGGGAAAAAAGTTTTTATGCACTGAGACACTAAGTCAAAAATCATTCTTTCACTACATGGACTTCCCATGGGCATTTGGCTCCATCATCTTGGCACTTGTGTTCTTCATGCTCCAGCCCCATCTACCAATCTAGCCTTTTCCTCCTTAATCCCTCATCCCAGTTAGCTCTCAATCCTATTTCCAAGCATGGAATTCCCAGGCCTTAATTTTCCAATAGCGACCTGGGGACAGTCCTTAGAGTCCAGACTCCTGTATGAAGCTCACCCCAAACTCTTGAGGCACAAGATAATCCTTCAGTTCTTTCACTGCACTTGATTCTCATTTTCTTAACAGCTCATCATTTGTTGCCATGCATTCAGATATGTCACACAATAATCTTGTTCTCCCATACCGACCCTAGCCTCTTGCTCGCCTTCTATTCGAGTTAGTCTTTAAGCTGACTAAGGCCAGTTAACATTGAAGCCACCATGATCTACACTGTGCTTAAATTTCCCATCTCAGTGCTGGTTAATACAACAGATAGGCACAAATTCTTGTTGAATAATGTGAATCTCATTTGCTACGGTTCCTATAAGGGGCATCTTAACTTTACCTGGATAATGACCCCCAGGGCCTGGGAACAGTTTGCACAGAACCAGAGTTACTCAGAAAACCAGATGGTCCCTAGACAGGTCCCAGCCTAGACCTCAGCCTAGCCAGAAGTGAGTTTCTGGCACCTGAGGAAGGTTAGGAGACCTGGTGAAGGAAAAGGATTGAAATGTGGCCAGAGAAGGAGTAATTACAAACCATTTTAAGCATATAGGACTTTATCCTCTAAGTATGAAGCTCAACCTCTAGGGCTGCTTTTGTGGGTTGACAAGTGTTTAAAAGCTGACCGTTTTTCCTACGTCACATCCAAGGGCTCCTCAAAGATCCCTCAGCATCAGGAATCTCCTTAGCTGCTAATGTTCCCTCTGCAAGCCCCAGTTTTCAGAATTCTGCAAGGAGTCACTCATAGCTGGGACTGCTTTTGTAGTCCTGGGCAAAGTCCCTTTAAGACGGCTCATGGCTGGCTTTCCTTCTCTACATTTGGTCTGCAAGAAATACACAGATGTCTTTGCCTGCACATATTCTAGTGCAGGCATTTTCTCACCAGCTTTCTCTCCTTGCCCACCATGGACACATTCTGCAAGCCACACAGTTCTTCACCTTGAATGTTCTCCAGTCTGGGTCACAGACCAGTTCCTCAACTTCATGCAAACTGCAGGGGACAAATGTCAAGTGCCGAGGCCAGTAGTCCCTCCAAAACTCTTTTCACAAGGTTTGAGGTGAGGAATAAAATTTGTGTCTGGCAATAGGCAGAGACACAATCCTCTTTCAGAGCAAGTTTCCAAAGAACGAGAGTGGAAAATGGCTAGGAGCAGAGGTAGGCTGTTGACCCACCAGAAGCCACGGTCCTATTATCCCTGTTTTACAGATTAGCAGGTGAGGCTCCAGAGGTGAAGTAACTGGCATAAGGCCATTGAGTTAGCAAGTGGCAACGCCAGGATCAAACCTAGATCCCTCTGACTCTCCAACCTACGCTCATTATTGTCAGTGTGCTCCACATATTAATTATCATTTACATAACACTTAGAAAAGTGAGCCTCAGAAGACAGGTCTGGGATAAGAGAAGCAAAACTCCTGACAGCTCACTCTGGTATAGAGCATGCTTCCACCCAAGTGGAAAGAAACAATTCTCAGTATAGTGCCTGTAGGTGAAGTAATTAAAGTTGCTGTGTTTCCCCGTGGGGCTGATGCTTGTCCAGGTGTATATATTACTGTGTTTTGTTAACAGATTGTTTACAGGCAGTCTTACTTACTTTCGATTTTTCGTTTTCTTTTTTTTTTTTTTACTTTCGGTTTTTCTTATACCCCCATTACATTTAAATGCACTTGTGGTGTGTCTACTTCTGACTCAAAAAAGAAAAATGTCCCCTTCTCTTAGGCTCTTAAAGAAAAGGAAAAATGAGAATGACTTGAGAAGGTGGGTCACCATAGAGAAGAGAGAAATGGAGGATTCATTTTGGG